TTAAATTATTATTAGGTATCGTTGGTCTATAACGTATGTAACATGCAATTGTTATCTCCAAACCTATTCTATTTACTAAATTATTTGAGTTTTGTCTTCCTTCAATTGACAATGAGATTGATCAGGCGTGGACTCGGGTGTTTTCACACCCGGAGTATAAATAAATGAAAATAAATTAGTATTTTCTAGGTTATTTGTCAATTGTGTTAGTTTGAAATTTCTACATCATTAATTTGTATATATTAAAAATAGAAAGTGGAAAATGATTTTACATTACATTTTTAATTTTTAATACACAATTAAAAGAATATTTACATTCACATTACAGTTTTCAAAAATAAAAGTTTGTAACGCACTGCACTGATTAACCGAGAAAAACACATCCGGCAGAAATTTATATTTTTAGTCCTTACAAGTTAAGGTGCCCACTTAGCAACCCTGCACACGAGCGTTGCGTTGACATGATCGGAGAATAACATTGTATCTTACGCGAAGTGGTACACACACTTTGGCCTTCCGTATAAGAAACAGTGTTAATCTATGACTCGCGTTTCTTAACGCGCGTCAACATAACGCTCGTGTGACAGTGGCCTTATCTACCTCACTATTAATTCCGTCCGTCGTTTCTCCGCTTCTAAGGACTATTGCTTAGCAGTAGTTCTCTAACTTTTTGTTTGCACTTCATTTGCCTTCTGAAAACAGTGTGTGTTGCATCCCGAGCCGCGAGCAAAAATAATTTTGTTTTAAGTTTGAGGTTTTGGAGTGGATTCATTTCTTTTTTGAAACACAGAATTTAATTTTTTTATTTACTTATTTAAGTTCGCTTTGCAACTACTAAGGTCGTACAGAGACCACTATAAGTAACGTTGGGGGTAACGGTAACGGTATACGGACACCCAAACTGCCATGCCCCGGGCAGGATTCGAAACCACGACCCTTCAGGTACGAGGCGGCTACGACTCTGTACCCTTAGCGACCTCAGGTTTTCGGGCCGGCAGAAAGTATATTTAATAAGAAACCAAGGTATTTTTAATATGTATTACCCATCAGGACATTTGTCAAAGTGTGCAGTTCAATGTGGCGGCGTTGAAGTTGACCTAATAACTGCGACTTAGGGACGGAATTAGGATAATGCATGCGAAATTTGGAGGGTTTTTTTTTCTGAAATCCCATAAACGTTTCCACTAAATACATTGTTATTCTTTACGGCAGCGTAATTAAGGATCCGACGAATTCAAGGTCAAAGATGAAAAATAATTGCGAAATGTATTGATGATCTTACCTGGTGAATATCTATGTGCATGTAATGACGCTCTTCGTCGGGATTTAATCCTTCGATTTCATTTCTGTAAGACTCGTCTCCAAACAAGAAATGAGGATACGAAACAAAGAACGGAGCACCTGAAAATTAAATACTTAGCTACAGGAGCAGAACATAATAATAACTAGCGTTTACATTCCTTGCGCTTACATCCATGAAAGAAAGAACAGTAGAAAAAGTTGGAAAGAAAAAGTAAAACTTAAGCACTAAACGGAAAATTGAAAAACCTCTAAAACATTGTTTCATGTCGTTCAGGCCTCATTCTCAAAGACTGAAATCAGAGAGGTTCACAAATTCTGGAATACTGTACACTGTGAATCAGATTTAAAAATGTTTCTGAAATCTCATTGAAATGTTTTTATTATTTAAGCTCTTGACTACAGCAAGATATCCTTCTATCTATCTTATTTTAAAAGTGTAGAGCATCACTTACAATTACAATCACTGCATCTTTCTTGTAAAGAGTCGCATGTTTCAAACGACTGCTGGACATTGTTCTTACATACACTCTCTAATTTTTGCGTTTAAAAATACTCTATTTTTGAATTTATTAAAATCCTTCCTAACTTCCTTTCGCTAACTATACCTGACTCACCGCTTGGTCGCTCTATACCAAGATGTTCTTAAATAATGTCTTGAGTCAACCAAAAGAAATGAACAAATGACGGCAAATAGGCGTACTTTCTGTTTTTAATTGGTTGCCACAATTTAGTGTTTATACTATAGATCAGGTTAATAATGGCAAGCGATATCATATCTGGGCATCAAC